TAACAACTGGTAATAAAGCAGGTACCCATGTAAGCGCCACGCCGATCAAGAAAAAGAACATTATTCTCACCCCAGAAATCCCTTGGGTGTCTTTCCAGATCACAGCTACCCCAAACTCCCACCAGACTCAGGGTAAACACCACCCTTAGATCATTTTTGTTCATTGTCGTCACATGGCATCAAGCCCTAGATATGGCCCTGAACAGTAGACATAAATCTTCCCGGTGTTTGAACTTCATGTAAATGAAATCATGTTTTGTTTTGTTTTTAATGTCTTTTGTCTTTCACTCTACATTGTATTACAAACTCCCTCCTTGGGCAGAGCTGGGCCACCCGGGGCCAGTTCAACCTTGGGCCCCCCACCGGCAGTTTCTCTTGTTCACTGGATTTAGAGGCCCAGCCTCCGAATTCCATTTATTAGCCCCCACGCTTTCTCAGTCCTGTGGGAGCTGTGGCAGAGGTGATAGCGACCTGCAGTTGTAAGGCACTGAGGAGCTACCTGGAGAAGCTCTGGAGCACCAGCTTTGACGCCCCCTCCCAGCTAGCACAGGGGGACCAAGTTTCATCGTTCCCACTCCAAAGTATGACTTACGCTATGTCTCCATTACAATAATGCAGCCTTCTGAGGCTAAGATGTCATGGTCTCGTGTTTTCTTTTTCCGTTTTTGTTCTCTGCTGGGCGTGAACTTAACTCATTTATCAGTGATTACTTTATTAGGTGATGAGAAGACCGCACGCAGGAACCAGTCCTGATTGCTAGAATGTGAAGGCCAGGCCCTCACCTCCGCGTTGCTGTCTTGAAAGGAAAAGGGGAGCATAGTCCGCAGATTGAAAGCTTACTCTTGGCGTATCAAGCGCACCCAGAATCTGCTCTCTCTTCAGGCCCAGGAGGGATGCTGGCCTCTCTGATTTTTCTTTCCATTTTAACTTTATTTTTTTCAATCACAGCCAACATTCAGTATCATATTAATTCCAGGTATACAACAGAGGGGTTAGACACGTATATAACTTACGAAGTGCTCACCCCAGTCGGTCCCTCTAGTGCCCGCCTGGCGCCATGCACAGCTCTTACAATATAACTGACTGTCTTCTCTGTTCTGCGCTGCACTCGTCCTTGTCTCAGCAGCTCTTCCCCTGGGGTCTCCCATGGCGCCGCTTCCAGGGATCTCCCGTCCCCTGCTCTGTGAGTTGCAGAGAAATACCTTCCCCCTTTGACCTGTCTTTTCTCCTCAGCCCCAACACACCTCCATGGACCTGCTTTCTCTTTTATGCTCTTTTGCTTCCTGCACTCAGAGCCTCTCCTTTTCTGGTGCGGTTGACCACTTCTGTTCTAATTCTGCTCTGTCTTGTTCTCTGTTGGGGTGCTGGAGCCTGGGGGTCTGGTGGGGAGAAAAAGGAACAAGAGCAAAGGAGGACTTCACAGTGGTCTGACCTCGAAGTTCAGCTCTTCGGGGAAAAAGAACCTTTCCCGCTTTCCAAATGAACAATTCTGTAGGAATTTCCTGTGTGATGTTTTCTGGGAGTGTCTCGCTTTGTCGTCCAGCCCAGTGGCTCCAGGAGGATGAATGCAGTGGGGAAGAGAAAGCCACCCTGTCCCATTGTTGAAGGGGGCAGTCAAGGCAGGTAAACAAGCATAGGCCACACGTATACGCATAGGCACACACGCTATGTCTGTGTTCTAGGTGACTCAGAGATAATGGCACACGGGTATCTGATAGCTAACAGGCCCCTGCCTGACGTCCTTCATTTACCATACTTAATTCAAATTAGGCTGAGGGGAACATTTTAAGTTCTCTTTTCTGAAGCAGGTGTCTCTGTCTGAGTCTCTTGGGTAGGAAAGGGGAGAGGGTCGAAGATGCTTGGTGAGTCTTGTTTCTTACAAGAAACAGCTTAAAATTAATATCCCCAGAAGGCAGCTTCAGGGGGGTGAAACTGGGGTCCACGTGAGAAGAATCTTAAGTACCTGGCTAAGGAGGGGAGACTTTTTCCTGGTAGAAAGGGGATTCACTGAAGTTGTTGGGAGCAGGAGCAAGATACAAAGGCACTATTTTAGTAAGATTGTCTTGGCATAATTATGCCTAAAGGATCCCAATGGGGAAAGAAAGGAAAGTGGGAGGATGAGTTAAGAAATGACTGTTAACGATTCAACCTTGAAAGGAAAGGGCCTGAACTACGGTATGTGTAGGGGGCAAAGGAAGGGAGGTTGATGCAAGATAATTGTGTGGAAAGAGTCAGTTGAACTTGCTGACTGAATCAGAGGTAGGAATTGTGGGGAGAGGGGAACCAAAATGATGCTCAGTTTCTAGAGTATGGCTACCTGGGGTAATGTAGTACCATTAATAATGGGAAGAGCGATGATAAGATACCCATGTGGAAATGTCTAAGACATGGGTTGGGATTCAGGATTGAAATTTAGTGATCTAATCTCAGTACAGAAATTTGAGATATCCAGTAGGGGTTGAAAGTACAATTCAATTGTGCTCAGTTAAATAAAAATTTTAAAACCATTGGTATGCCTTCTGTAAGAGTATATGGTATTTCTGCACAAATGTATACAGTGGGAGAAGAGCAGAGAGTTGAGGGCTTAGCTTGGGAACTTTGGATAATTCACAATTAGAAGATGGAAATGGACAGAGCCAGTAAGACTGAGAAATGGGAAAGGGAAGTCAGGGAAGAAAGAGGAGAAGCAAGATAATGTAGACTAATAAGGGCCACAGGAGGAGGAAATTTCAAGAAGGAAGTTAAGAGGATGAAAACTGAGTAAACACTGAGGGATCCGATCCATAGGAACTAATTTATGATCTTCATTGGCCCAACTCCTATTAAATAGTGGGAAAATAATACAAATTATTTCCTGTAGTTGAATTGGGCAAATATTTATTGGCTGTCACGGATGTTTTCCCTTATCTTTCTCAAGTTGAATAAGGGCCTCCAAAGGCCAAATCTATTAAATGTGCTTGGGGCTGGCCCTGCCCTCCCTTCCCCCTTCCTCCACCGCCACCCACCCCCCCCTCCCTCCACCAATGTCCAGGACCTCCAGGCTCTTGACTTGCACAGGAAAGAATTCAGCAACTAGTCCCAGTGAGAGCAAAAACAAGTTGTATTCAAATAAAGAAAAAGAGGCTGGGACATTGGTTCCTGGAGACAAGATGAGGGCTGAGCCGTCCGCTGCTTGCGCTAGTTGCAAGTCTCACTGGGCACCACCGTGAAAGAAGAGAGCACACCTCTGAGTAGATACGGGTGAACTCGCGACTCAGTTTTGCACTGGTCAACCAGTTCTTGGGATTTTATGTGTTTCCAAGGCTGAGTTGTTTCTGAACTTTGTGGCACCCAATTCAGGTTCCACTGTTTGGTCGGGGCGGTTCTCCTTCTACTATGGTCTCTTCCAGAAGTGTCATGGTGTTTGCTCTCTGGGACCCCCTGCTACTTGTGGTGTCACTTGTCATTCTAACAGTGATATAATGGGCTCTGGGGTTGTTCTCCCATCCAAGTACTAACCAGGCCTGACCCTGCTTAGCTTCCGAGATCAGACGAGATCGGGCGCGTTCAGGGTGGTATGGCCGTAGACTGGGGCTGTTCTCTTGTCAATTTTTCTTCCATCTTGGATTGATCTGGTTTGAGCCAGGCCTTGTTGTTGACTTCCCTGACCACCGCAGGAGTTTCCTGCCATAAACTATTTCCCTTTGACCATGCCTGGAGGTGGGGGCTCCTGCAAGGGGACTTCCTCATTCCACAGGAAAGCTTTCCTGATCTTCTTCCTATCCTGCCTGTTTCTCTGAATGATAAGGGCGTCAAATGAAATTTGGTACAAGATTGATTTATAACAAGGAGCTAAAGAACTATCGTTTCCTCTGACCTGAAGTTTTGGTTTGAAGTAGGATGTTGGTAAATGGGAATAAATTTAAGAAGTTACTTCACATTCTTGTTCAATCATATTATGCTAACCCCTGACTGGCCCAGATCACATTCTATCAGCACAATATGATGCTATTTAAAGATCATTGTGTGGTTGAAGGGTGGGCTTGAAGTTTGGGTCATATAAAACAAGCGACTGTTTTGGGGACTGAACCTTTGAAATTTTGCTAGATCTAGAGAGATTTAATTCAGCTTAAGCTCCATTTCTACTTAAAATAGCCCTGTAGTAGCTGTAGTAGGAGGATTGGGCAACACCTGTAGTTTGTTTTCAAGAGATGTTGATTTCTTAAATAGTCACCAGTTTCGCCTCTAAGTTTTAGCAATTTGAGGCTCACATGCAGTAGTGTGACCACTTCACTTTTCCAAATGTCACAAACATTCCATCTTTATGCTTTGGGGCTCTGTCACAAGTGGGCTCAGCCCTATAGGGTGCTAAGAGGGCTGAAATGGAGTGTTCGGGTGGTGGAGAAGGAATATTAATACTTTTCCTCCTACCTTTTAAGTTCTTCTAGGCTGGGCTAATACCCAATTAACAGAGACAGAGTAACAGGAGAAAATCGAAGTTTAACACATGCACATGAGGAATTCACATCGGCAGGATAATTCCATGAAAATTTCAAAAACAGTGAGGCGGTATTGAGTATATGACATTTTTGGACAAAGGAGAAAGTGGCGGGGGACGGGTATTCGATTTCAGAAGTGAGAATGGGTGATTAACAGGTATTTGAGGAAGAGCAGAACACACACCACACACGACAGGAAATCCTCGCTAGGTGACTCAGAGGCAATGGGACACAGGGGATGGCCTGAAGCCCTCTTAGTTACCATACTTAATTCAAATTAGGTTAAGGGGAGCATCCTAAGGTCTCCTTCCTAAAGCAGGTTCCTCGGTCTGAATCTCCTGGTGAGTAAAGTGGGAGGGATCAGTTTCTTTCTGAGTCCTGTTTCTTGACAGACAGCTTAAAATTCATACCCCCCAAAAGCAGTTTCAGGGTATTAAAACTTTCGTCCTTTCAAAAGCTCTGTAGACAAAGCTTTTGACCTCTTCTCTCTAGGAAGATTTAATTATTGGGATTTTATTACAGAAGCTGAAAAGACTGTCCAGCAAGTATAAGATAGACAAAACCTACCCTACTACTGTGGCTGAGAGGCCCAAGAACATCAAGAAAAACAGATACAAGGATATCTTGCCCTGTAAGTTTCATTTCTCCCTATAAACTTGTACCTTCTCCCAAGTTCAATTATTCCTATTTCTTTTCACCCTTGCTTGCTGTGCTTAATCCTGGAACATGGCTTTGACAAGTTAGTTTGTGCTGGTTATGACTACAAAAGGACATTTGTTTATTCATTCTTTCACTCACTCTTCAAACCACTATTCACAGTGCTAGTCCCTGGCTTGCAGTAAACCCTCGGATTAAGCCCCTGTAATTACACTGTCTTTCTTCTGTATTGTAGATGATCACAGCCTAGTGGAGCTGTCCTTACTAACGTCTGATGAGGATTCCAGTTACATCAATGCCAATTTCATTAAGGTATAGACCACATTCCATATTCTCTAGGTACCTAAAAAAAAAATGAGGGAGGATACTTGACCATATTTCTCTAGGTACCTAAAAAGTAGGAAGGAAAATATACTGGACAAGAACAAAAGGGTATTGTTTGTAGTCACCCCATGTAACTTCTGTTCTCCGTTAGGGAGTTTATGGGCCCCAGGCTTACATTGCCACCCAGGGACCTTTGCCTGCAACTGTCCTGGACTTCTGGAGGATGACTTGGGAATACAGAGTCCAGGTAAGATCAACTTTTGTTACTATTCTCTCATTTTTAGGGAGAGAGGCGTTAAGGCCATCAGACTATGTGACTGGGGTTTCCTAGGTATTAAATTAGTGCTTCTTTTGGTTAGTCACTAGAATTTTGGTGTTCTGGTATGGCTTAGTCAAAATCACGATGTCACTCTTCAAGGAAATGAAAGTTCTCATCTTGACAGGCTCATTTGTTAATAAGAATTTACTGATTTGAATAGAGAAAAAGAGAAGTGAGGCGAGAAAGAAGGAAGGGTAGGAGCAACAGTTTGTGATTTATCAAGATTTCTTTTTTTGGTTAACATAAAACCAGAAAAGAATAATTAACACCTTTGGACCCTGGGACCCATAGACAGTATTAGCTGCTCTTTCTAACTGTAGCAATGGCTAAGTTTCTATCTATTTCATCCCCTAGATCATTGTAATGGCATGCATGGAGTTTGAAATGGGGAAGGTGAGTTCATTCTAGTATACCTAAAGGTAAGGGGAAAAAGGAGAAGAAGGGGGAAAATTGGTAGCAGAACTTTCCTTAAGTGTAACTAGGTAAAATTTGTGTTCATCGTGCTAGTTTTCAATTTGGAAATGCCAAATGACTCAAGACTTTTTCTTTTTTTAAAAAAATTAACTCCTAACGACCCCTTTTGTCCATTTCCCCAGTAGACTCTGTGTTTTAAAAGAAAAATAAGGTATGCTTTTTAAAGTAACCAATCATCTTTCAGTTTTATTGATCAGACACCTTTAACTGCCAGCAGAGCTTCTAACCCTGTGCCGTCCGATGTGGTGTCCGCTAGCCACATGCTGCTACTGAGCTCTTGAAATACGGCTGGTGTGACCGGGGAACTCAGTTATTTTATTTTAATGAATTTAATTTTAAAAACTGACATTGAATTCAGTTATTGGAAAACTTTAAGTATGTTTGGAACAACTTAGGTGTCTGTATCTTTTTCAGCTATACATTTTATGAAATCTAAATGGAAATGAAATATTTCCTATGAAAATTTAGCACATTAATGGAGATGTACTATAAATATTAAAGACCCACTGTATTTTGAAGACAATTTAAAATAGCAAATATCTAATGGTGGTTTTATATTGATCACATGTTGAAAATTTTTTTGATATATTGGCCAAGTTATATTACTGAAATTCATTTCCTTCTCTTTGTTTTTGTTTAAACAATTTTTTAAAATGTATTGTTTTTAGAGAAGAGGAAGGGACAACATCCATTTGTTGCCCCACCCATTCATGCATTCATTGGCTGATTCTTGCATGTGCCCCAACCAGGGGATTGAACCCACAAACTTGGTGTATTGGGATGACACTCTAACCAACTGAGCTATGTAGCCAGGGTTTTTGTTTAGTTTTGTTTTGAATGTGGCTATTAGGAAATTCAAAATTACATAGGTAGCTCACATTATATTTCTATGGAGCAGCATTCTTCTAACCTATCATTGTCATTCTGAATTGATACAATTCCAGCTGAAACCAAGGGAACTTGGTATTTAAGTTTGCTTGTGCAACTTTTAGTAGACGTGACTTCTGTTCATCTTCTTGAACTACTAGAAATGTCAGATCCCTATTTCTACTTTTCCAGACTTCTAGAAAGTCTGACACTTATATAGCCTTTAATGTTTGTCTTCCCATCCTTGGAGACTCCAGACCATGAAGTTGGGGTTGAAGGCCAAGGGGATTGGAAATTCCTAACCTCAGGTGAAGGACACAGAGCTGAATTTGCTTCTGAATGAGGGAGTGGGTTTTGTTACTCATAAGGGACTAGAACACATGGAGGGAAATCACCGTCTTCTGCTTTGTGCAACAGAAAAAGTGTGAACGCTACTGGGCCGAGCCAGGAGAAACGCAGCTGCATCTGGGCCCTTTCTCCATCTCCTGTGTAAGTACAATGCCCGTTTGCACATGGCTGGGCCAACGCTCAGCATCTCCTTCATGGAGAGTCATTTTTGAATCTTAATCTTTGAAACAACTAATATTTTAATTTACCTCTTAGGAAGCTGAAAATAGAAAATCTCATTACATAATCAGGACTCTAAAAGTCAAGTTCAACAGTGTAAGTATAGAATCGGTCAGTAAATTCAAAGGCCTGTAGAGATTAGTCAGGGCAATATACGTGTGTGTAACTTGGGCAGGGCATAAGCCAATGGGGAGTTGTGGGTGGCCTTTGCTGTTCTGGAAAAATCTTCATATTCAAAAGAGACCTTCGGTGCAGTCTGGGGTCCCAATCTATTCCACACCATGACCACTTATAAAACAACTTGTAGGGTAAACAGAGGCTGTAAACCAACGTGAGAGCTCAGGCTGCCCAGTCTCTCTGAGACAAAGGGATTTAATATATCAGCGTATCTCTGACCCGTTTGAAGTTTCTCAGTCAGGAAGCTCCAGTTTGGACTATCTTCATTCTACCTCCTCTGCTGAGTAGGGCAGAGAAGGACAGGCCAATGATAAATGACCTGAAATCACCTAATTGTTCTTTGTAGACATTTGGTCAACAGAAGTCTATAGGGAAGAAAGCAGCATAAACTGCGGAAAAGATGTAGATAATACTTAGTTAGTCAGAGAAATCTTGTGCTAGAATGAGGTGGAGTCCTAACCTCGAACTCTTCTTTTATTCTGTTTTTTTTTTTTGTTTTGTTTTTGTTTTTTTTAATAGGAAACTCGAACTATCTACCAGCTTCATTACAGGAATTGGCCAGATCATGATGTGCCTTCATCTATAGATCCTATTCTTGAACTCATCTGGGATGTGCGTTGTTACCAAGGGGACGACAGTGTTCCCATATGCATTCACTGCAGGTATGATGCTGTTGTAGGAACCTCCTGCCCGGAACAACCCAAATCTCACAGTCTGGCCAGGACTCTTGCTTCAACGGAAGGGAGGTTGACTCGGTTGGAAGTTAAGGTGGTATGAGTACACGGGATGTAGGCCCCTGATCCTCGCCTCACTTTTTCCAGTTGATCAGAAAGGAATGAAGCTTAGAAACATGACAGAAAGAGAAAGGTCATAGCAGAAACAAACTAAAATAAATTCAACCCAAGCATTAAATTAATATGTTTTCTGATAAGTTGCTTGTGAACAACAGTACAGCTCCAGAGACTCTTGCTGTGAGTAGTTGCCCAGGACCTGTCCTGAAGTTCAGCATGACATGTGGCAACTTGCAAATATTTGGGAGATGGTAGTGTTTAGAGGGCTTCATCGTCTTTAGGTTTCTTCTTCCTCAAATCTGCTGGTGGAATTTTCCAACGAACGTCAATGACCCACTGTCTGCACCTTTAAATGCTGCTACTGTGATCTTTTATTTCAGTGCTGGCTGCGGAAGGACCGGTGTTATCTGTGCTATTGATTATACATGGATGTTGCTAAAAGATGGGGTGAGTTTTTCTCGGCAGGAACTTCCCCTTTGTTTACCTTGCTGCTTTCAGGCTTAGGAATTGTTTGGGTGTTCAAAACACCCACCTCTGCAATTCATCTTTTCTAGAATATTGACTTGTAGACCTGCTTTGTCAGATGATTCAATGAGTTGCTGAGTCAATGGTTCTCAATGTGCGGTCTCCAGACAAGCAGCATTAGCGTCAGCATTACCTGAGAACTTATTAGAAATGCAAAATTTTTGGCCCCTCCTGGGATGGACCGAAGCAGCAACTCTGGAGTTGGGGGCCCAGCAAGCTCTCCAGGTGCCCTGACATGTGGCAGAGTTGGAGGACCACTGCCCGAAGTGACATGGTCACCCTTTGTTTATCCAAACTGCTTTAGTAGGTGTACTCAGTTCACCACAATCAAACTTTGCGTTCCAATCTATGCATGCTTTTCTAAAAGTCAAAAGAGAGAATGGAAATTTAAGATACAGGTTTTGGCAATATCTACCAACTTCTTTTATTTCATGAAACTCATACTGGCTCATCGGCTGAGCTTTCTCCTTCTTTTTATCTTTAACTTCAGTCATTTGATCCCCTCCATGTGAAATCAGTCTGAAGAGCTGCTTCAGTCTTTTCTAGGGAAAACACCAGGGGTAAACCGTGATGCAAGTGATGAGAATCTTCATTAGTTTAAAAAATATATCTATTTTCTGATATTATTCCATGTTAGGAAAGTAGTTGTCATGGAAGTCATAAGACTATGAGAAAAAGGCAATAATTTATTGATGCATCTAGAAACAAAGGAGTAAGATATTTTTCTTTTAATTTGATAGATAATTCCTGAGAACTTCAGTATTTTTAATTTGATCCAGGAAATGCGAACACAGAGGCCATCGCTCGTGCAAACTCAGGTACAGACTGTGGTGAATGGATCATAATATGTGTCCGAGTCTCGCTCCACCTCTCTGTTTAACAGTAGGGCAGCCAGAGCCAGCCCTGTGCTTAGCTGTAACACCGGTTTCCTGTTGTATGCCTTAGTCTGTTCCCATTTCCTCCATCTTGGAACATCCCACAATTTTCCCACAATTTTTCCCAGTATTCCCTGCTCTGGGTCAAATTCCTTTCATCCTTTGCATTTTGCTGCCCAGAAAATATTAAGAAACCAATATAACATTTCTTGCAAAGGATGTTGAAAAAAATTCAACAAGTTGTTTGACTTCCTAGAAAGAAACAGTTGGGTCAGGTTAACTTCAAACTTTGTAGTAGTAATTTATTTCTGAAACCGTCAAAAATCAAAGATACTTTCTACTTCAGGGTGTGGTAACAGAACTTGGAACATGCAGTCTATGCTCATTTTAGGAAATAATGAAAAATGAAAGTAAAATCAACCATGATCCTATCACTTAGGTAACCACTGTTACAATTTTTCTATAGTCTCTCGTGGTCCTTAATCTATGCATGCTTAAAAAAATATAATTACAATCACACTGCATATATGGGATTATATATGTATCACACTATTCTGACCCATCCCAGATTGCTCCCACCCATTCGCTCCTTCAGCACTGCTCTTCCCCTGTTTTCTCCTCTCCTTTCCAAGTTCAAGCTCTCCCTCCTCGGTGAAACAGTCCCATCCCAAATCGCTCACTTTCACAATATTAATTTCACCCATATTTCCTCACCAGTTATTTTACCCATATATCTAAATGGTCTCCATCTTTAGGATACAGTTTATCATTTATCCATTCATCCATCCATCCAACATGCATTGATATTCGGTATCAGGCACTTTTGTGTAATTTGTTAGAACTACTTTTTCCTGCTTAAACAGCAATACCCTAACATGTGTAAGGCAAACAAAGTGACACATAGGTTTAGAGGCAGAATAATTGACAGGGCAGTTTGGATATTTTCATCTAGAAGCTGTGAACCAAAGGGAAAAAGTGAAGAGCTATTATAATATAAACCTTCTATTTGGCCCACACAGGTTTTCCACTAATAGCTAGTGGAAAAAATAATTTTTTTTCATGTGTTGGCTGTAGGTGTTTTCTATATTCAACCTGTGAGGGGGAAGGTTTATGTGAAATGAAAGCCTTGGCTGCTTTCGAACTGTCAGACTTAAAAGAAGGCTGACCCATGGCAATGTATGCAACCAAGTTGTGTAGTATTAAATTGTAATACTGAGTCAATGAAGAAAACCATACCCATGCCAGAAAAAAAAGTACATTTCAGGTGTATTTTTAAGAGTTAGAAGATGGCTGAAACAATTTTAAGTTAGCCTTCACATTTTGGCATTGTCAACAACTAGCTGAAAAACTTCTTACCACTTATAGCTGCTTTTTCTGTCACTACTCTCACCAGGAAATAGCACAGTAACCAGATGAGTACTTCCTGTATAATTTTTATCTGTTCTTAAGAAATTTAAAGACTGTATCAATGGCCATGTTGGTCCACATAGACTCTGCATTGTTCTCCTGCTAAAATTATATTTGAAAGAAGTTGTGCTTTACTTGTGTGAGACTGTGTAAGAGTCAGAGAAAACCCTGAATAGGCCCATTCAGATGAAAATAAGGAACATACAGTATTTGTCTTTCTCTGACTGGCTTATGTACCATATGATTCACACACTTGTGGATTCTAATGAACAAACTGAACTAACAAGTGAAACAGAGACAGGCTTACAGATAGAGAGCAGGCTGACAGCTGAGGGCGGGGGGTTAGAGGGTGGAGGGATCGAGCCAAAAGGAAAAAGGACTCAAGGAAAAAAAGTAGATAGAAAATCAAGTGCTTGAGCTGGCACAGAGGGGAAGACGGAGTAGTAAAAACCCACGAACACTGTAATTGTAGAAGAATCATTTCTCTATGGTGAAATTATTTTATAACTATACATTTCTAAACTCTATTCAATAACCCACTCTGATATCTTCGCTGGGACAGAATTTCAGCAGTTTGATCTAAGTTCACTAAACTAAGTGTCAGAAGATTCAGGTTCTAACCCAAGTCCTGGAAATTAGTTCCGAATGACCTTGGACAAATTGTCTATAAACAGGAATAATCGCCTAGATTGTTTATAGATCAATTATAAGGGTCAGGTTAAATAATATGTATTAAAACCATCTATCTAGCCATAAACCACAATATATCTACCTTTTTCCAGAGAAGGTAGAGGTGGCTCACACACAAAAAAATGTATCCAATATGAAATAAAATTTTTAACATCTGAGCAAGGAAAACAGAATTAAAGGGATGAAGATGGAAGAAGAGATCAGAAAGAAAGTGAGGTTAAAACATAAAAAAAAAAAAAAAAAAAACCATGTTGCAAGGTCCCTGCTTGTATATTAGTTAGAGGTAGAACAAATATTTAGCTGTATCTAGCAACCTGAAATGGCTATGCAAATGTAAGGCACTGTCATTAAGCGAATGTTAATGGCTTTTTTGGGTTTGTTATCCTAGGATTTGATTAGTTTGTATTTCTGAAATCTGGTTCAGTTGCTCACCAAGGCTTTTGTTTTCCTCCTTCTGGTTCGTGATGCTCTCCAGGAACAGTATGAGCTGGTCTACAAAGCTGTACTAGAACTGTTTACAAGGCAAATGGATATCATCAGAGATAGACACTCTGGAACAGAGGTAAACTTTGCACTTGATGTTTTGTCAGTTTTTTAAAGAATGTTTGATTTGGTGAGGGGCTCTTAGGTTAGTTGAAGGACTTAGCTTATTATTTATCATTACAACTAAATTAGAGTGTCCAATGTGCACAAGCTGTATTGCCAAGCTCCGGTGGAGAAGGGCAAACAGTGGAAGTATGTTAACTTAGAAAATTCATCTTTTGGTTAACCTCTTCCGTACAATATTTAGCTAAATTTAGAAACAATAGGTGTGAAAGAGTAAGCATATATTCTGCTCCCATGCAGTAAGTTAGAAATGAGAGTGACAGCTACAAAGTGAAGCCGTAATAAAGTACTGATGTGGTTTTTCAGTTTACTCCAGCCTCATTTTGATGGCATATGTCTCATCAAATTTTGAGAATATTTTAGAATATCCAAAGGATTTTTAGATACATAATTGCTTTAGATATAAAAGCAATTATGATTTCACCAAATTCCAATTTAAAAATATTGAGTATTCTGGGATTTGCTGTTTTGATCTTATTACAAAAACTGGTAAGTCAGATACTGTGTAATCACAAAATTACTAACTTACTGGTACCTTCTAAGGTATATGTAACATATACATATTAATTTAATTTTTAATATCACATTTTGGATAGATAATCTGAAAATATTCACTGAGGACCTACTGTTTCCACAGCACTAAGAATACAAAGTATAGCCCTGACTGGGTAGCTCAGTTGGTTAGGGCATCATCCTGATACACCAAAGTTGCGGGTTCGATCCCTGGTCAGGGTGCATGCAAGAAGCAACCAATGAATGCATGAATAAGTGCAACAACAAATCAATGTTCCTCTTTCCCTCTCTTCTTTCCTCTCTCTCTCTCAAAATCAATAAATAAAAATTAAAAAATTAAGAATACAAAGTATATAAGAGATGACCCTGATCATAATTCCATCAGCTGATGATGAAATCCTAGGGAAAGAGCAAATCCTAGGGAAGGAAAAGATAGACAGACAAACTGTTAAGGCTAAGGAGTGCGCTTAGCAACCCTATGGTTAATGCCAACTCCGAGGAGAAACAACATGGTGGAAGATGATAGAAATGCAAGTGTAATTGTCAGAAAATGTTACTTATATGCTATTTTTGACTCTTTTTGCTAGTACTCCCTCAATAAGGTTAAATAATAGAGGTGATATCAATGACCTAATTTTAATGGAAAAGATTCACATGTTTCACTACTAAGTGTGATGCTGACTTGATTGGATATATTTATATTTTAATTGTTTAAAGAAAGTATTTGTTGATTTCTATTTTATTAAGAAATTTTTCCAGGAAGAATGTAAATCCAGTCAATTGCACATTTTTGCATTTGTGGAATGATGACATGGATTTTCTCCTTTAACCCATTGATATAGTCCTATCATTGGATTTGTTAACATCAAACCATCCTTGTACTCTTAGAAAAAAACCCTTCTTGAACAAAAAATATCCTTTTGAAGTGTTGCTACAGCATGTGAGCTAATATTTTATTTAGATTTCAGAAAATGTCAATAAAATTTAGCCTGGCAGCAGTGCTGTGACTTTAGCCAGCTGGGTTTTTTGGACTGGGTCTTTGGTCAGTAAGTCGAAACAGGGGAACATGGCTCATGCTCCCACTGAGGAAGCTGATTAAAGACGGCAAACAGAACTTCTGTTTCTGGGAATGTTGAGTAGACATACTTTTTCCTATTCCTCCCACTAAGTGCAACCAAAACCCCCTGGACATTATATATAAAACAAATATAAGAAGACAGATCAGCTAGGGACTTGGATCCAAGAAAAAACGTGATGGTGAGTTCCCTGGGTTTTCCTTTGCCTCATATATTCCAGGCTTGGAACTAAAGAAACCAACAGCCTGGAAATGCCAACAGTGCAGACAAAAGAAGACCCAACAAAAGCCTGCTCTCTCTAGCCTAAGGACCAGGAACAGGGAGGCCCAGCAAGACATGAAACTTCCAGATAACAATCACTCTACTTTAGTCAACACCAAATTAAAAAAAGGGCCCTCAACCCCATGCCAGCAAAGGCTGAGTGAGGAGCCTAGATCCCACCAGCACAGGACTATAATAAAGTGCTGGGGTCATGCCAGAAAGCTCAAGCAGAGAGCTAGGACTGTCATCCCCACTGGCCTGCAATGTGGTTTCCCTGCAGTGCCAGTGACGACCACACGGGGAGCCTGAGCTTCCACCTGGCGGTAACATGGCGCCCCAATGCCTCCCACTGAGGTTAGGGTCAGAAGAGGCCACATGGGTAGTCAGGACTTTCACCACCAGCCAACAGGAGTGGGGCCACCCCCACCACAGTGTCAGAGATGAAATGGGAGCCTCCCCCATGGTGTCCCCTTTGAGTATCAACAGAGGTTACTTCTTACTCAGTGAGGAGACTGGTGGAGGTAGAACCCATCCAGTAGTGACAAGGCAGCAGCACCTCTTCTCCTGTCAGAATGCAGTAAAAAACAAACAAACAAATGAACAGCTAAAAGAGAAGGTTAAACTAAGGTCCAGAGCATCATGTCTCAAACCAAATGAATAAAACAATCAACAGATGGCAACACTGAAATGACAGAGATGTTAGAATTTTCTGGCAAAGATTTAAAAGCGGCCATGATAAAAATACTTCAATGAGCATGTACAAACATGCTTAAAACAAATTAAAAAAATAGAAAGGCTCAGCAAAGAAATGTAAAGACTCAACAAAGAAACAAGAAATAAAGAAGAGCTGAAAAATACAGTAATTGAAAAAAAATAGCTTAGTAAATAGGCTCAACAGCAGAGTACAGGGTACAGAAGAAAGCATTAATGAAATGGAAGATAGAACAATAGAAATTGCCCAATCTGAACAACAGAAATAAAATAAACTGAAAAAAATAAATAAATAAACACAACCTTAGAGAACCAAGGGACTGCAGCAAAAAACAGCATTTGCGTCATTGAAGTGCAAGGAGCAGAGGAGAAAAAAAGACTAAAGACTAAAAAAGGACCAAAAGATTCATCATAATTAAACCTCTGAACCTAAAGACAAAGATTATAGGAAACAGCCAGAGGAAAAGGATCTTAACTGAAGGAGGAAAACAATTAGAATGACAATGGATTTGTCATCAGAAACCATGGAGGCCAGAAAGAAATGGCAGAATATTTGTCAAGTACTGAAAGAAAAGAACTCTCAACTGGGAATTCTACACCTGGTGAAAATATCCTTCAAGATTGAAGGGGGAAGCAAGACATTCTCAGATGAAAAAAAATTAAGAGAATTTGCCACCAGTAGACTTACCCTAAAATAATAGCAAAGGAGGTTTCCTAAACAGAAAGGAAATTGTGAAAGGAAAAACGTGGTAAGCAAAAACGGATAAATATAATAAGTTTTCCTTCTCTTAAGTTTTCTAAATTGTTTGATGGTGGAAGCAAAAATTATAACACTGTCCGATGTGGTTTTAAATGCATTAGAGGAAATATTTAGGGTTATTACATAAGCAGGGAAGAGTTAGGAATGTCAAGGGAGGTAAGGCTTCTGTCCCAGAACTAGCAAAACGGTAACACCTGTAGACTGTGATGAGTTATGTATACATATAAGGAGGGACCTGAAAAATTTGGAATTTATTTATAAAAAATTGTGCATGTATTCTTACATGTTTAAACTTCAGGCACCCTCAAAGTACTCTCCATTTGATGCAATACACCTCTTGAGACTTTTTTCCACTGTTCAAAACAGTTTTTGAACTTGTCGATTTTGGTGTCTTTTGGGGCTTCTGCTGTTTTTTTGTTTCACCTCTTCCACATCAGCAAAACGTTTTCCTCTGAGGACTTTTTTCATCCAGGGAAACAAAAATGAGTTGCTTGGGGTGAGATTGAGTAAATAGGGAGGGTAGGGCATGGGCGTCATGCTGTTTTTTGGTCAAAAACTGCTGAACACTCAGCGCAGTGTGGGCAGGTGCGCTCATAAATCACCCACCATAAATGGGCAAATGGGTTCAAAGAGTCTTCAAAAAAAATTCACTGAAGCCAAATACAGACTCACAACAATACCAGCTGGTGCACTGATACAGATGGGTTCCCAGAACACTCACCTAGCAGGGAAGCCTGTACTACAGGGGGCCTGCCCTCCAGAAGATAATTCCAGGGTTTTTTGGGTCCCCCCTCATAATGTAATACCAAGGGCTACAACCTCCAAAGCTACACAAAGACATACCTTAAAAAAATAAATAAATCAAAATGAAATTCTAAAAATATACAGGAAAAAGAAAAACGTGAAAGAGAGAGAACAAACAGAAAACAAAAAAATAAAATGGCAGACTTAAGCCCTACAATCAATAATTACACTAAATGTGAGTGGTATAAATACGCCAATTGGAAGACAGATTGGCAAAGTGGATTGAAAACATGACCCAACTATATGCTATTGGGTCATATTTTCTATAAAAAACACACTTCGAAATATAAGCTGGAAAAAAGATACATCATGTAAACATGAATAAAAGGAAAGTAGAAGTAGCTGTAGAGGGTGGGGCAAAGGTTTACAGTTATGAGTACATGAAACAGTTTATTCTTGTATTATTTTAATTAATTATTGTATTCATTTCCATACAGACAACTGTAAACCTAATTTTTTCCCCACCCTATATTAATACCAGATAAAGTAAAACAAAGAAAACAATCACAAAGAGAGACATTATATAATAATAAAAGGGTTAATCCACCTGTAAGTCATAGCAATCTTAAACATGTATGGACCAAACAGAACTGTAAGGTATGTGAAGCAAAAACCGATAGAAATGAAAGGAGAAATAGACAAATCCACAGTTACAGTTGGAGACCTCAATATCCCTTTCTCAACAAATGGCAGAAAAACTTGACGGGAAATCAGCAAGAATAAGGCACTCAACACCACCATCAACCAACAGGATCAAAATGATATTTATAGAACATTCCACCCAATAACACATGAATACATATTCTTCAAGTGCTGATGGAACATATAGCA